CAGACATACACATGCACACACACACACACATGTATACACATACACACACAACCATAGTGATCATTGAAAGATGATGTAGGGCCCCTTCGGCTGAAGCCGCTATGAAGCCATGGCCTGAATCAGCCCTACTACTAGCCCCGCTTAGGTGGATGCCTGCCTCTGCCGGTGGCACTTGGCTCCTGGTTGCTGAGCTCCATCGCTCCTATTGCCTACACCCTCGGCCCCATTATAGGGTTTAGGGTTTAGGGTTTATATGTCCAAAAACTGCATCTGTCAGGACATGTAAAGGGACTTCATAATGAAGAACCTTAAAAAAGAAGGGCTTCTAGGGAGCAGGTCAAGTAAAGCCAAAGACCCAGCTCCCGAATCCTACAACCGAAACAGCAAAGCGTTATTCGTTGCTGCCGCGGTTTCGGTCTTTTTGCAGACTTCCTCGATGTCCTGTGACATCAGCACCTTCGATACGGCGGGAAGGTTTCTGGTTTCTGCTTTGGGGTTATCGGGTCGAGGGCCTATCAACACCTTGGTACTGGGCTTGTGGGTTTGTGGATCAATTTTCATTGGTGTTTGCGGAGGGTTAGCTAAAGGCTACTCTCTGGATACCTCAGTCGGTTTAGGATTTCACATCCGGCATTCTAGGGCGGCCCTTCGCAGGCTCTGTGCCTCCATTCTAAATCTTTAACAAAGCTCAGAGCGACTTAGCTGCCCCATCATCTGCCCTGCAAGAGTGCATCGAGTGTCTTCTGTTAGAATTATTTTACCCATGAGCCTAACGAAAAACCAAAGTAAACTGCCCAAGCCGCATACTCCAAACAAATAGCTCAACAGCGCGATCACAGACTGCTGCATTTAACCTCGGACCTCACACCCCCAATCCTACGGCCGTCACAAGAATAAAACTGCCTAAAACCTTCCAAGTTTAGACCAAGAAATCACCAAGACACCAAACTACCCTTAACACCAAACTCGACAACCTCTTCCCAACAGCCTCCACCCTATTAATCTGAACCTCAATCCCAAAACATCTCGAAACCTAAGAGCCTGAACGGTTGCCAAATCTTACCGACATTACTCCTACGGGTTCCTGAAGTTATTATAGGTGCGGGATAACATACCCGTAAACCGGGTCCCAACTAAGGCCCTGATTCGATGTTGAAGCCCTACTCGGAATCTCCAGTGCCAGCTTTGCTCGCTGGCACAGTATGTAAGTTATGGCGTAGCATGAGAAGGACAGTGACGGTGTAACTCTGTATAACTGTATAACAGACTCCAACAAGCAGTACATTCAAGTCTCAAGATGGAATCTAACTACCCTAAATGCTACAAACCTTCAAACCTAAACCTGTTGTGCCCGAAAAGTACCCTAAATCCCAAATACCCTCCCCGCCCTAAAGCTTAAACCCGAAAGAAATTGGGCTGGGATGCGTCGGGTTCCACGAAGATGCCGCCGTTGTTGTAGACCAGGCCCCACTTGATAAAGTCGGCCCGGGCCTTGCTTGTAACGTAGGGGCCTCCAAAAATTTAAAACAAGGTTTCGGAGCATGTAATTCTAAATACTATACTTGATAACTATAATTAAGAAGGTTTCGGAGTATATTATTTTAACTACTATACCTGATAACTATAATTAATAAGGAAGCCCCAAAATAGTGTAGGTACTTATTGGGCCCCTACATTTGGGGATGTAGGGTCTTCGGGCTTTGGTTCATGCTCTCACAACTCCGACAAGGCGAGGCGAGGTCCAATATGTGCTGGTCGCCGTGATACTGAGTGTCTAGGGTTTAGGGTGATAGTGTATAGATGGGTTTATGGGTATTTTGCCTGCCACCTAGCTAGGAATGGGTTGGGTCTAGGGTTTAAGGTTGTGGAGTAATGGGACATAAGGTTTAAGGGTTTACGGCGCGAGCTTTCTCTGGGGTAGGGCTTTTCAGGTGGTTTCAATGCTCACAAGCTTTACGAGTAAGCACCGCGACGGGGATCTTAGTTTGGAGAGAATACAAGCCCTCGATCTCGCCCGGCTACCCCTAAAGCTTACAAGCTAAGTAACCTTACACCCGGAACCCCAAAACCCTAAACACTATACCCCTGCTTAGAGGCTCTAAACCGTACCCCGAATTCGGTGTTGAAGGTTGCTGGCTGGAATATTTTCGGCACAAAGTCCCTGGCGACACCTCCTCCAAATCCTAAACAGCCCCAAAACCATCCAAAACCTATGACCCCCAAAAGCCCAGAACACCCACATCCCGGTTCCTAAAACATGTCGGTAGCAAACAACACACAACACACGACAAGCTTAACAACAAAAACAACCGGATAAACCCCCCACAGACCCGACAAATGTTCCCCTCCCTTCTCAAACTCCGACCACTGCGGCCTTGGAACAGATCCGGCCTTCCACCAGAAACTACCCAAACCGATTTTTGTAGGGTCCTGATAAAACTTCTTACTTAGCTTTGCCACAAAGGATCTACAAGCATTAGTTGGTTGTGATGGTTCAAGGTACGGTTTAGGAGTCAAGGGGTTAAGCGAGAGGGAACCGAGCTCGATCCTAAACTGCTCGAAGTACGGTTTAGGGTTTTGGATATGAAGCCCTAAACCCTGAATAAGGAACCCTCAATCCTAAACCACTAGAACTACGGTTTAGGGCTTTGGATACGAAGCCCTACACCCTGAACCCTTAGGGCCTCAGGATAGGGAAGCCGGAAGAACTCCTCCGGCACGTCCGGGACCTGCGCTACACGGTCTTGAACACAAAAGAAACGGCTATCGTACCATTATAGTACCGCATCATACCCTTAAAGCAACCTTTATAGGAACCCTCTTACAAAGCGTAAAACAATATGCATAGCACCCGAAACCCCTAAACCCTAAACCCTTACGAGGGGTTTGGGATCGGGTTCGCGGAATGGGCGCCTTTAGGGTTTAGGGTTTAGTGGGTCCAGGGTTTAGGTTTAGGGTTTAGGGTTTAGGGTCTAGGGTTCAGGGGTATGGTAGCTTTTGTCTCCCACTTGTGGGAATGCACATTAGTTCCTCGTCAAGAGACTCGAACAAGAAAGGAGCCTGTCTTGAAGTTTTGTGCCTATTGCAAGGATAGGTCGGATAGGTGGTTGGAACAACCACCACCACCCACAAAACGTGAAACTCGAATTCCACAAACTCCTAAATCAAAGCGGCCCTCTTAAGAATTTGAAAAACTGTACGAAACGATTTAGGGTTTAGGGTTTAGGGTTTAGGAAGCAATTTGGGGTGAGGACAACCAGATTCTCGAAGCTCATGCTTGAGCTTCCCGCGCTGTGCCAGTTCCTATGTCTCTCGGCTTAAATTTCACATTACCCGGTGGTGCAAGCCCTAAACCATAAACCTGGTATGTTTATTGCGAATCTCCACTCGTGAGTATGTCTGCCCACAGAAACGACTCCTGACGAGAACACGTGACAAGATGGAGCGTTTTCCGGTTGTCCACAGATCTGAACCTGCAGTAAGACCAAGCAGGACCACCTCGAGCCCTTCTAAAGCCGCTGCAAAATTCGGGTTAAGCCCCTTTTTTGTGAACCCAGGCTCTTTGCGATCAGCTTTAACCCCAAACCCTAAAGCCTAAACCGTTAATGGCTGGGAGCGCTAAGGCACAAGCGATAAACGCGCTTCGGGTTCGGTTCAGGTTTTACAGATCAAGGTTTACGGCACCTAGGATTTCAGTGTAGGGTTCAGGGTTTAGGGTTAGATCCTCTGGCACTTGCGCACACACTTGGCCATGTTCAAAAGCATTGGTGGAATTAGACTCCGATATATGTGGGCTCTAGCAGCTCCTGTCGTACCGTGGCCCTAACCCCTACACCCCTAAACCTTAAACCAAATGGAACTCTTATAGAACCCCGATAGACCGCTAAACCCTTCAACCGTAAAACCCCTAAGATCACCAGTTCCGCTTTAGAACTCAACTTTGCTAAACCCTAAACCATACATGGGTTCAGGTCCCAAGATTAACACGGCACCCTTAGAAAAAGGACCCTGAAGAGGACCCTAATTTAGGGAGCTACCCATATAAGCCTGCGGAGTAACTATAATAAATTAGGGGGTCCTAAGGGTGGTATATACCCCAGTAATCCCCACTTCTCCCTATAGTACTCCCTTAGGTTCCCTAAAGCTCCCTAGGGCCCTCCCCCCTTGAGCCGCCCTCCCGTAAGGATCCTATAAATAAAGACCGGCCAAGTCTCATGCTCTCTGACCTCGGTTGGGGCTAAAAGTCCAAAGCTGGGGATCGGAAAACCGTGGCACGGCTTAGAGGTTTAGGGGTCTAGGGTTTGGGACATGAAGTTTGGGGTTTAGGGGCTTATCGTTTAGGGGGCGTAGTCGTGTGTATCTAGAAGGCTTTTAGGGATGGGGGCAGCCCAAACTCAACAAATTTAGGGTTTAGGGTCTAGGGCCCGAGCTGTACACTGGACGACTAAAGTGACTAGAGCATCAGCATCTTTGACATGCCCTTGTAACGTTGAGATTGCACCAGCCTTCCGAATCATGACTGTAGTGAGAAGTGATCCCCGGCGAAGTTAACCTCACAGCCAATGTTTCGTCAACAATTGAGCCCACATTGACACAGGTACGCTCGGAATTGCAAAACCATGGAGATAAGCACTATAATTTCCAAGGTTTAGCGTTCATCGGACAACCCACCTGAAAATGGCGAGCCTGTTTGAGGTTCGGGTCTTTGCGACGTTTTCAGATTTGGGTGTGGGGTTTAGCACGTTTGCGGGGGTTCCGAGTCAGGATAGGGTCCTTGATATTTGGAGAAGAGTCTTGGGGTATATGGCTGACACTTACAGAGGGACCATATAAGGGAGTAATATTCATGCTGCTTATGCAGACCCCGCGAATTACCTGCACACTCACGCCACCAGATTCTCCAGCCCAGCAGCATTGGCCGTAGTCACGATCCTCACTGAGCTACATCGCGGAACGGTTTCTTTGACTTTCTCATGTAACCCTGAACCCTATACCCTGGTCTGAATCTGAAAGGTGCTTGAAATTTAATCCTAAACTCTGCACCACACTTCAGGTGAGTCGTCATAGACGGTTTCGACTCTTACTGGGTTGGGGCTTTGGGCTCCACGGTACACCTGCAAACCATCAATCTCGCGCCTACGCGGCAACGATATCTTACTCCCTAAGCCTATTCAAACTCAAAAAAACCGTAGTAGGTTCTGACGCCTCATGTAGTTAGTAGTTAGACGTGTACAGCAATCCAGAACCGTCGCATCCCATCCCTTAATTACCAGGTTGTTGCAACCCTTCAACAAGGAAATGGGGCCTGAATCCAAAACCATAGACCGTATGTAACCCTGATAGAACCCTTATGGAACGCTTCTAGAACCTTTTAAACCCCTAAACCCCGCAACCTCTTAACTCCCCATCCAACCCCTGAGCCCTAAACTCCGAACATAGGGGCCCAAATAGTTACCAATACAGTTTTTTTTGGGGGGGGTTCCCTATTTTGATTCTAGTTTAATACACCCCCAGAGCCCTATTCCTATTATTGAGGCCCTTATATTACACCCTGAACCCTATAGACCCTAAGCCGAGCGACACAGGCTCTCCGAGGGACCGTGCATGGCGCCGCCAGGACTCGACGTTGAGCCGCAAGTAGAGAGGACCGAGACCCTCGAGGCTTCGGTTTAGGGTTTAGGGGTATTTATTGTAATGTTTTGTTTTGTACGGGCACTTTTCTAACTGGGCTTTAGGGTTTCGGGTTTAGAGATTTGAGGTTTTAGGGATTTTCGGCAGTTTATAAGGTTTCGGGCTCAGGGTTTACGGTTTACAGGGTTTAGGGATTAGGAAAGAACCTACAACCTCTCTGTGGTTCCTTATTATGGCTTTTATCTTGGGACACCGGTAGGGCTCCGAATTTGCGGCTTCAGGCTGAGCGTTTAGGGATTTGGGCTTAGGAATAGGACTTAGGTTCAGGGTTTACACCTATAGCCTCCATTGTAGTTCCTTTTTTTTGGTTTAACCAAATACATAATAAGGAATTTAGGAGGTATCCCCAAAAAGGAACTACAATGGAGACTATAGGTAGGGTTTAGGGTTTAGGGTTTAGGGTTTAGGGTTTAGGGTTTCCTAAACCCTAAACCCTAAACCCTAAACCAAAAAGGAACTACAAT